GACGACGTTACCTCAGGCTATTTTACGAAATATTCAAGACGTTAAAGAGTCAGATTAATATTAAGCTTTCTATCTCTTTTGTTCTTGAATTAATTTATGACAGAGAACATTTTTTTATGATCATAACTCTATTGACAACGTTTGGGGGGGGGGGGGGGGGGGGGGTTGAACCTTTATGAAACGATGGAGCGCAGAAGCCAGTGATGACACACTCACTTGCCAAGAGGTCCAACCATCCTACTGATGATGTTAGATTAGACACACTCACTTGCCAAGAGGTCCAACCATCCACCTGATGATGTTAGACACACTCACTTGCCAAGAGGTCCAACCATCCTACTGATGATGTTAGATTAGACACACTCACTTGCCAAGAGGTCCCACCATCCAACTGATGATGTTAGACACACTCACTTGCCAAGAGGTCCAACCATCCTACTGATGATGTTAGACACACTCACTTGCCAAGAGGTCCGACCATCCTACTGATGATGTTAGACACACTCACTTGCCAAGAGGTCCGACCATCCTACTGATGATGTTAGACACACTCACTAGCCAAGAGGTCCCACCATCCTACTGATGATGTTAGACACACTCACTTGCCAAGAGGTCCCACCATCCTAGTGATGATGTTAGACACACTCACTTGACAAGAGGTCCAACCATCCTACTGATGATGTTAGACACACTCACTTGCCAAGAGGTCCAACCATCCTACTGATGATGTTAGACACACTCACTTGCCAAGAGGTACAACCATCCTACTGATGATGTTAGACACACTCACTTGCCAAGAGGTCCAACCATCCTACTGATGATGTTAGACACACTCACTTGCCAAGAGGTCCAACCATCCTACTGATGATGTTAGACACACTCACTTGCCAAGAGGTACAACCAACCTACTGATGATGTTAGACACACTCACTTGCCAAGAAGTCCGACCTATAAGTCGTTTTGATTTTATTATTCTACAGAAATAATATTGGATTTCGAATGGCATAAAAAAAGCTAAATGGAATAATTCTATTTATTGTTTTGAGAAAACAATAAATTGAATTATTCTATTTAACTTTTTAAAAAAACCTGCAAGATCCTCTGTGAGATTTTATTTATATAAAAAGGAGAACTGCAGCCTATTTCAATTAATTAAAACTCTTTGACTAAATAAAGCTTGATTATTTGCCTAACAGTTAAACAAAACTATTGATGCAAATGACCAGTGACACCACAAGGTAGATGATGCATACAAGTAAGAAGAATGTGTGTTCAATAACGTTTTGGAAGTATGAATACCCAGCGGTCACACACAGCGATCACACAACTTGCATCCACACAGCGATAACGCACTGTCAACACTCAGCGATCACACACTGCCAACTCACACAGCGATTACACTCAGCCAACACACCCTATCACCTATCAAAATCATGTTTCATAATTTAAAGTCCTGTCAATTTAAAACTTGCCATGATTTCTTAAAAATTTAAGAGATCGAATTGTCAGATGAACTAACTCATAAAAAAAATTATAAAAATAATTTTGCCTTAAAAAAAAAAAAAATGAAATCTCTCCCAATACTAGCTGCAATTTACTACCAGCAGTCATATTTTTAGAGATTTAAACTGGTCTAGCACTGAAGTATATGAATTGAAAGTGGTCTGGACATCCTAAGTTGAGAACCACTGATTTCAATGAACACCCACCTTCCCCTCAATAGTAAGGTGGATCCGGAAAAGTAATGACCAACTTGGGGAGCTAGGAGAATGAAAACTGAAAATTTAGTAAGAACAATTTTATGCCATTCCCCCCAAAAATCTTTCTTAATTAATTCAAATTTTATTATGAAAAAAAAAAGGATCAGTAAGATTTTGTATGCTCAGATGCAGATGAAATGCTAGGGGGTACAGTAAAAAAAAAGAATGAGATCTAAAGACGATGCACTGAGTCCATTTTTATAACAAAGTGTCAGTATGAGAGTGGATGATTAATCACCCAGGCTTGAGTTTCATGTTGGGATTATATAATTAGTTGTGCGCAGGTTCAGTTCTAACACCTTCCCATACTATGTTTGCAGATGATCAAAGAAACATTTTGAAACTGGCCAACACCTAGTTAGTGCTAACAGTGGTCTGGAATAATTTCTTGCAAATAAAACAAATATTTCCAGAACCAGTGATGTCTTCAGGTCTTAAAAATTCTAACCATGTTTTAAATTTCAACTAAAACCCCAATCAATATTTTCCAGACTTTGTGCAATTTGTAACATTAACATTACTTCGAAATTTGATAACAATACTAATTTGTTCTTTAAGTTCTTTTATTATTTCTGTGAATCAAACACAAATTTGAACTTAGTTGAATTTTCACAGCATTGAATATGACGAGATTTGTGATAGATCTACAAACATTTAACAGGCTGGAATGTAGTTGAGAAAGAAATAAAGAGTCTAAGTAAATAGAAGATAGAAGACATGGCACAAACAAACCGACAGAAGAACAGACAGCAGACATGGCATAGACAAACAGACAGAAGAACAGACAAACAGACAGCAGACATGGCAAAGAACAGAGGGGTAGAAAATAGAAGAGGATGAGCATATGATGGCACAAACAAACTAATATGTGAGGATCAGAGCAATGTCAAAACCAAAGCATTCAAAGTTATAAATACAATTTCAAATGATTAGAGTAAAGGTGTACAAAGAGAGATGGAGAGAACAAGGTAGAATAATTTACAGAGAGAGAGAGAGAGAGGGGGGAGAGGGAGAGAACATTTTAGAGAAAGAAAAAGAATATAAGAGAATAACTGTACAATATTTCCCATATTTACAATATACAAGTTCAGTTTATCATGACCTATTGCTTTGATGTTGCCAGTCTTGTGTATAAGTGTTTCACTGAGTATACTTCATTAGTTTACAAGAGTCAGGCAAAAACAAGTAAATGTGATTCACAAATGTAACTTCACCTAGGAAACCATTTAAGAGATATCAAATTTATCATAATATAATCAATCAAGTAAAACAGTATGGTACCTTATTAAAAATGTAGTTGTAAACATTTTCCCTCTCAACAAATTATAAAATAAATGAATCTCCCTTTGACCAGTCTCACTGATGTAAGATGGGTAACTCTCAAATAATACATGGGATGTTCAATTAATCACATGTTGGGGTCTGTGTCAATAATTAAGGATCATGAAAAGTCATTAGATAAGACTGCCTATTAACTATTATTAATTACAATGTGTAACAATAAGATGGATTTTTTGGGCAATCATTAAACAAAGCATGCATATATATCATCAAATAAATCAGAATACTGTAATAGGTATATTATTCGCACATGTACTTTATAGAGTAAGTAATTAAAACTTAACTTTTTTTATATCCTTTGCTTGTAAACATAATACAGTGGGACACAGAGTGTTATGCAGGAGGATGAAGAAGACAGACTGAAAAAGAACAGGAGATGGTGTATTTTCAATATAGGTTAAGGCCACAACCTCCCACAATGCCCCTACAGGCGTACAAGAATTGCTGCATTTCATTTTTCTCTTAAGTATTAGCAGTGAGCATTAATGATGTAAACAGGCACAAAGTAAAAATGTTAAAAATTGATGAATTAAAGTGCTATGTTTATGCAAATAAGTATGGTGAGCTATAAGGATGATACATAAATAATAAGTTCTTCTTAAAGCATTGGCCAAACACAGACATTGCAGATGATGGCTTTGATTAATAAAACATGCTTATATTCAAACATTAAATAAGAACAATGTAGGCGTGTAATATCAGCAGTGAAGATGGACCCTCCATACAATGTTTGAGCAAACATAAAAAAATTATATCTAAAATACAAATACTTCTAGTAAAAATAAAAACTTCAGATCTCATGGTTATAATTCATGTAATACTTTAATCTAATTTCCAAAAGGAACTATACAAAATAATTGGTCTTTTGTTCACTTCAGAGGTTTGTGTACAGTATGTGGCATATCAAATAAGAAAGAAGTATCTATCCAACACAAGTTCTAATAACCTTATAATTCCTCCACAAAAGATATGTCATCAAAAAGATGGTTTTCAATGGTTACCATCTTCATGCCAAAGTCACTTCAAAATATGAAAGAGTAATATCAAAGATATCTCCACTAAAAAAATAAGATAAAATAAATGAAAAATGTAAAACCTATGCCAAATACTCCTCAAAAATATAACACTAACTTGTTTTAAGTTTTCCCATTTTACATTTTGAGTAATATTCTGATAAAATGGTTTCATAAAATCCTGGTAATACTTTTACTTCCATAGTAAGGATCAATATTTTGTCCGCTCATTTTAGTTGTTCAAAAACATGATAAGCCAGATCCCTTTAGACACAGAAACGATCAGGAATACTAAGCACACAGAGATAATAAGTGTAGTGCTATTCCCTTAATTAACACATTCTGAAATGATCAAACTCCCCAAGACATTACTTCTGTTGCAATTCCATTCCTAAAAAGACCATTTCAATACAAAGTCACATAGATGTAGACCCACCTTACAGACAAAATAATAAATATTGTTATTTGGGTCAAAATTTTGACTCCTTATAACCTTATACTCATTGAAAGTAAAAAAAACAACTCTAAATTAGCTAATCCAGAAAACTGTATCCACTCTTTGAATACATGATTTTTTTGTATTTATATATAATATATATATATATATACACACAACGTCTTGTATGTACAAATGAATAACTTTAAATTATATGTACATATATACAATCCTCGGCAGCTTCCAAAGTGTCGGTAAACTGATTAGTAGCATCAGCCTTGAAATACAGAAGCACACATTTCTGCTCACTTTAAATTTTAAAAAAGTATTGTCACTTGAACTGCAACCATTCCAATGGTCACACAAATTCATTTTTTCCATTTCATACTATTAGTTAGAAAGGGAAGTGAGTTGCCTTGATCAGCATACTATTTTAATCCAGTTATCACAATTAAATTTCCCAACACCAATACCAGGTCTGCAGTTTCTTGTATCCAATAAAAAATGAATTGAAGTCTGTCCTAAATGGATGTTTCCAGGGCATTGTTATTTTGGGCCATTTGCAGAAGTGTTCTTGGCATCACTGGAGTCTGGAAAAGAAATAAAATGAATGAAAAAGACATTATATATCTAAGGGAGATAAACAAAAGAGGAGAAAAAAAAATGAGAAAGAGTTCTGCTCTGAATTTATATTATTCTTTAGATTATCTTTGTCATATCAATTTTTAAAACAATGACCATCAGTAGGCCTATGTTACAAATATTGCTTAAAAATAACATACAAAATAATTTTTAAAAATATCTTACCTAGTACAGCCAAAAATGAAATTATTTTAAGTTCACAAATAATAATAATTAATAGAATAAAACAGTTTATATTGACAAAATATCTACTTACACCAGGGGCTTTACAAGACCGGTGTTCCCCCCTTGAAACATGCTTTTGCTGAAATTGTCTCGGTGTTAAAGGAGCTTTCACTTTGTTGGCTGGCTGATAGTTAGGTAAATAAGTGATTTCATTCTCAGACTCGTGGAGAAGGTATTTAGGACTGAAGGAATTTGCTAATGTCAGTGGCAGGGGCTTGAACTTTGGAATTGAATTTCTGTCTGTGCTAGGAGAATATGACTTGAATTTGGGTGATGATAAACATACATTTTCCTTCAATGAATTTGAAAAGTTTGAGGATTGTCTGGTTAAACTTGTTTGTGATGTCTCTTTCTGTAATATTGTATTCTTGAGGTTTTCTTTATCGGTGCAATCTTGTTTAGGGGGAGAACATTCTGAAATTGCTGTTGAAGTATTGCTTCGCTTATGCCTAGGACGAGAAGTTCTGATGTTTGCTGTGCCTTTTGATGAAATTGGCGATGAAAGTAAATCACTCATCAATGGTGTCAATGTCTGTGAAAAAATAATAATAAATCAATTTTAAACGATTATTAACAATATTTATTTGGTATGTCACATTTCTATACATTTTTTTCCAGTAAATTTGATCTTTAAAAGTTGATTTTAAAGATTCATTAACTAAAATTTCTTTAATTTTTAATTTTTTTTATAATTTTAGTTATTTATCAAATGAACTTTATATTAACTTTGAGTTAGGACTTAAGAATTTATTTTAAGTTCCTACATTGCAATAAATAATGCTGCCTTCAAAGATATGTATTATTAAAAAAAATAAAATTACTTCTGGTATCAATTAGAAATATTAAAGAGAATCGTTTTGAAAAAGCATTACATTAAGAATTATTAATGACCTGAAATTAATGTTAAATTTAATCAATGAAGAAGATCAGCCCAAACCAACATTGAAGAAACTAATAAAAAAAGAAAAGAACATAAATGGTGAAATAGATGAAGGCTTTAAATATTAATTCCAATTTACTGTTTACTGACAGCAATAAGACTTGATAAACAGTTCAGATATTTAATTTTATTTTTTATAAAAATAATAATTAAAACGTGAACTTTGAATAACTGTCTCTTATCATAGTACCAATAAGTCTTGAGGATTATAAGTCAGTTGAAAGAGAAATATAAGGAAAAAAAGGGCGTGAGAAATGCTGTTAGCTTCTTCCTGTATTTAAATAACTTTTTGTTTCCAACTGTTTACTAATACCCTTATTAGATAAATGTATTAAAAATGTGCAAAGAGGTTAGTATCTACTAAAGCAAATCTAGTAAGCCATTGACAGCAGGCATTTATGAGCACTATAAGCTTGCTGCAGAAAATATCTTACAGTACACTGCAAATTGTAGAAATCCAGCCTCTTTCTAAGAGGGTGAAAGGTCAAAGGTGAGCAGTACACAACTGCCACCTTATCTGAGTTTTTATAACAGCATGATCCTAGTCCCTGAGACACATAGTAAAACTCATCTTTAGAAAACACCAAGGAAAGACAAATTAAATTATCTGCAGAGCTGACCTATTACCACACAGGAATCTGATTTTCACTTTAAGTGAGATTTCAGATGAAGATAATTTATTTTTAAATTATTTTTCTCCATAAAATGTCAGCGTTGATGACAAAGACTTATATTTTTTAAGACAAACCACTATTTTTCTTATTGTTTTTAAGACATTAAATTTTAGTTTTGAAATACAACAAACAAGGCAACAATTAATTTTTAATGACAAAATCAAACGTAATGTAAGTTAGGTTAATGTAAACTAAAAGTTAGCTTTAAAAAAAAACCCAACAGATTGTTCATTAATCAGTGCCTCTCAAAGTTACCTGTTTGGTTCCATGTCTGGACCAAATTTAAATTAAGTACTTCAAATTTTCTCCTTCAAAATTTATTAGAGTCCATCCATTTTAACCATATTGCCGAACATGTTAAATATTTGAGGAGCACTAATATAATTATTAATATTAGTTTAAATTGTTAAGAAAAGTTTTAAGAAGTCATTTACATTATTACCTTAGACTCATCATTTGAAGAGGTCGATGTGGCAGAAGATATACTTAGTCTGGACAACTCTGGATTCTTGCTTTTTGATCTACCCATCGAAGGGAAACGTTTCTAATCAAAGAAAAAAAAAACTCAGTTTAGTATATATATGGTATGTGTTATTTTCTTTTAACTGGGATTAATGATATGAAATACAACTTTAGAATATTCATAGGTAGAATATAAGTAGTTCCATTCTTCACCGTATGGCAATTTTTCCAGTCACCAAGTATTATTTAGCTCACCTTGATCGATTCACTTATGGACTTGCTTCGCTTGTGTTTCTTTGTGGAGGAAGTTGGGGTTGTGGTAGCCTTTAAAATTTGCTTCTTAAGCTTCAGATTATGGGGTGTGTTGGGGAGGGACTGCACATGTGCAAACAGGTTCTCTAGCTCAGTCTGTGTGTTTCTGGCCACATCATCGCAGCGAGACAGGTCACGATCCAAGTAACACACATTGGTGTTTAATGTCCTTCCACTTATTGATTTCTGAGAGAGTCAATGAAACAATTTAATCAGCATCAGGATAGCAAAGTCTACTTTAACTACAAATTAATATTCAAATATTATCCTGAAAATAATGCCAATAATATTAACAGTTGAAATGTACTTTTTTTCATCCTTTGATCGTGAAGATGTCTATGGCAATATTCAACTTGAGTAGTAGCCTTGACTTGAGCTGTATTTTGTTTAAAGATAGGGAGAGTTGCTCAATTTGTCAGCCTCACTCTATCGTCCTTGTCTATTTGATCCAATGGCAAGACTTGGTCAATACAATTGGAAATAGACCAGGATGCAGTTGATGTCTGTGCTATTTATGCATTCTACGTTGCAGGAGTGGTCAGAATTTTCATTGTCTCAATTTCATACCCCCTACAGGACTCCATCTCCAGGTTTGCCTTCTCTTAGATGAGTTGCCTTCCATGGTTAACGAGTCCCATCAACCCATTTAAATGAACTAATTACATGATGACCACTTAAATAAAATTATACTTCACTATCAATTCAATCACCAAAACTAATGGGTAAAGCTTTACCTTGAATTGGCAGTTTTCCGTCTTTGTTTCATACTCAGGTGTGGGTGAACTCTTCTCTAAACGATTCCAATAGTTGGCCAAATCAATCACTAACTCTTGAGGAGCCTGAAACAATAAACACAAATGTTACTTGAGTAAGTGCAATAAACCCATTTAATTACAATGAACTGCTTTCAATTACTTCTGAAGATATGTGTGTGAAACTATTTTAACAGATGACCAATTCAGCACCAGACTTATTATTATTACACCTAACATAGCAAAAACAAAAAAGAACTTGGGGGAGAAAAAAATGGGGGGGGGGGAGAAGGAGGCGTGATCCTGAAATTATTCACAGCATCCTGTCAATAAATATTTATAATTTGTTTTGGATTTACATCACAAATAATTTTCAGGCTTTTATAGCCACATATTTCCTCCAATGAAATTAGTTTATTTTCTTGTTAACAATTAAAGTACTGATACTAAGACATTTAAAAATAAAACATTGTTTAGACTTTCTTCACAACAAATAATAGGGCTAAAAACAGAACAGAACTGTTCGTGAATAGCGGTGACCATTTAGCCCGCCCTTCCCATTCAAGGTCACAGGCCCACCATAGCACATTTCAGAATGTACATGCTGGCCAGGGTTGGACTTTCAGTTCTAGACCCAACGGTTTGGATCGGATTACAGCGGCTTAGGCTTAGTCATTATCTGATACTAAATACTCATTGAACATGACCTCCTGGTGACAAACACAACACTAATCCCTGTTAAGCTTTATGACAAAGGTCAGGGTCAAATCTTTGCAGAAAAGGTCAGAGATTCGTAGCGTGGCGGGTTCTGAGTTCCTACGAAGTAGAAGAACCACCGTCAAAACGTAGGACTGACCGTAGGACTGACCGCTTTTATTTGATGGCTATGTTCCACATAAATGAATCTTGTGTCCAACTTAAGTATTTAGACGATCTTCTTATGGTAAAAAAAATAAAATAGAGTAAACGTAACAGCGGGTCAATTTTTATAGGGCGGTAACTACAGAAGACATAGCCGAGTTCAGGTTGGGTGGTTCAATTAACGCCTTTACATAAGTCATCCTGACTACCCTAGATGGAATCAATCTTCAGGAAGTATTAGACTGAAAATGAACACATTGCATCCAGCCATGTAGTTTTACACTCATTTGAGTGTGTTTTTTAACGTCCACTGCCACTAAAATTAACTATAGTGTTGCTACTAGAATTGTTCTTCTTTCAACAGCATCCTCTTATTTTAGTAAAATTTGTTTTAGGGCTGAATTATTTTGTTTAAACACCAAAGGCCCAACATATTTTATAGAGGCCACGAAAACTTTGGGAAGATGGGCTTAAGGAATACAGCAAGAACAATTCTTTAAAATAAAATCAGGGAAGGTGGTCAATACATTATTTAAGCTAATCCACAAACAAATAAAAAGTTGAAAAACGCTGTTCTAAATGTCTGTGTCACCGGGGGGGGGGGGGGGGCTGTGAACAAATACTAAGAGGTACTAAGAGGTAAACCAATACAAGATTCAAGCTTGTGATCTACGGCCAAAGGATTATGTGCATAATACAGTCAAATGAATAGGTTTTAGTGAAGAAACCTGGTTATAGATGGAATCAAAGATACAATTTTGCTATTTTCTATCCACGAGACTGCTCTGGGGCTGCCCCATAAAACTTGAAAGAGCTCTGGCCTATCACCCGATCTCGGCACTTTCAAACCTTCTAGGTCACGCTCTGCGAACCCCATTGTCACTTTGATTGCCCGGGTCCCCAAGGTCAAGTTCGTCCTTTGAACAGACACTTGACAACAACAATAATCTAAGATTTGAGTGAAGGCCATCTTTAATTTTAGAGTTCGGTGACGTGTTCTGTTGGAAGTGCTACAAGCTAGTCTAGTAGGTGCATTTCTAAAACAACTATTTCTTAATCTAAAATCAATTTTTTTTTCTCTACTGAATAATTCTGAATTAGTCGTACTCCTCAACATTATCACGTCAGCCACTGGATAGTTCCGGGCACAAGTTACTCTATTAGGTTCTTTCATTGTCTGTTAAGAAGAATTTAACTTTGTCAAGTCCTCTCTGATCTTACTTTCTAAATATGAGGCGGGGAAATATTTGTATACATTTATTTTATATATAATATTTAATACTGAGAAATCAATAAGTATTGGAATAGTATTATTTATTGTAGTAAGACAGTATTATATAATTCATATAATACTGCATCAGTACTAAAACTAATGCTATTCCAATACGTATTGATTTCTCAGTATTAATCGCAAGTTAACAAGTAAACAAAAAATGTCCATAATAAATAATTTGACAGACCAAAATGTTTAATCTCTCTGTAAAAAGACATTCTGGCCTTATCACCAAGATAATATCGAACATGTCCAGCGCAGACCTCCACATTATCGAATTACCGCCTCGCCATCTAGGCCTGGCCCGCCTCACCATCTAGGCCTGGCGCTATTATCAATTCCACTTGGGACTTTGTGTAACCAGGTCTGCGGTTTGGTTTCCCAACGCGACTAACAACCCCCATTAACGAGTTTGAGGTTAACAATGGATGAAATCGGAGGTGTGCAATTACGGACTAGGTGGGACCCCTGGTCACAATGGCGTGTAGGTGCGACGGACGTTCCCGCTAGTGGATTTCCCCCAGCCCATGTTTAGTATAAACAACGACTGGACAGGACTGTGTCCACTGGGGCCCTTACACATTTCTACAGCCGACGGGACAATGGCAGTTTTGTCAATGTGAATAATGATTCGAGTCTCGGCATCCCAGTGGCAGAGAAGAGATTGATGGGCACTAAAAGGGTAGGGTTGGGGAAAAAAAAAAAGGGGGGGGGGGGAAAAAAAAAAAGGGGGGGGGGGTTTAAAAGAGCAGGCAGAAAGTTAGGAGTATCATTGCTTCATACATTTTTAAAACCCTAAGAAAAGGATTATTTCCTATTGGAAATGCTTGTAAATAGAATTATAATAAGATTAACTTAAGAATATGTTGCCAAACTTAAGAATACGAGAATAGGATCCCCCCAAACCACATAGAGTATAACATGTAATGACAACAGCTTACAAATATGTACATCTCAAGCATTTAGTTCTTGCTTGTAGTTTGATTTTCAATCAAACACATATTTTAGAGAGGCATACCTAAAAAACAGCTTTGACATTGTTAATTGCAACGTCTTTGCAAGTTAACACAAAATAAACCCAGGCGTTTCACTTTTCCAAACTAATGTGATCTGGTAGTGTCTCACCTACAGTTGTTTTTTCTCACCAAACTAATTTGAATATATTATTATTAGGGGTGTGCCGGATCCGTTTTTTCCAACCGGATCCGGATCCGGTTTTTCTTATGCGAAATCCGCCGGATCCGATTTCCGGTTTCTCCCGGATTCCGGATTTTGGTACTATTGGTAGATACTTCGGTAAGTCAAGGTGGACTACTACTTTTTGTGTATGGGAATTCGCAATCGGCGCCAAAAAATCTGAGTTTTTAATTTTCCGATGTGTGTGTCTATTTATTATTAAATTAGTACTTTCGATATATATTTGAGTTCCGTTCCATTTGGATAAGTGTCTTACGAGAGACGCCATGTTTCTACGCGTTCGCAGCAGGTCATGCAGCTCGCTCAACCTAATTTCGCCATGGGGTTGGCCACGCCCCCCTTTTTAATGGCGGAAGTTGACGATACTTAGGAAATATTAATTTATTATCACTATTTACATCAAAATAATTGATAACTTGTGTTTCAGAATGCATTTAAAGACATTTAAACTGGAATGTTTTAATTTGAGCTTTAACAACCCGGTAGAATCCATATTATAAATGATCAGAATTTACCGTGTGCAACACGTTGTCATTGGCAACCATTCACAGCCACTTGCATAACTGTATCGTAGTACTACCTCAGAGTTTCATTCATAAGAGTTTGCCGTGTGCAAAAACTATTAAACCATTGGTCAGGGAAAGCTTTAATTAATTATTCATGTGCCAAAGTTGAAAGTTTAAACTAAGTCTAAACAGTATTTTAGTGATAAGGCAGGGAATGCGTTGCCTTATATAAACTATATAGTCATTGCGCATGACGGGATTGGTGGAATGAGATCACAGAATGTGGAGATGCAGTCCATGTTAAAAAATGACAAACCAAGTCGTACTTTAAAAATTCATAACTTTAAAACTACAACAGCTAAAAATATGATTTTGGTGTTATAATTCTTTAAAAAATTACATCTTTTCAACTATGCCATTGGTTTATTTTTACAAAAAGTTTAAATTTTCTTATCAAAGTCCCTACACTATTGGCCACTATTAGCGGTGCTGACTCTAGCCTCTGGTATGTACGGAATATTAAACATTAAACAAGCTCAACGCTCGAAACAATCGATTAATGTATCGTGATCGTGTGAAATTCGGGAAAGAGAATTACTTTTATTTCAGATTATGATCCGGTGAGTCACAAAATCTGGCAAATTCCGAAATCCGGTATATTCCGGATTCCGGAATCCGGTTGTTCCGGATACATGTAAATCCGGCGGAACCGGATTTCACCGGATAGTGCAAAATCCGGCGGAACCGGATTCCGGACCGGGGTCCGGCACACCCCTAATTATTATATAATATATGGATAATTCATCAACACCTTTAAGCAAAGGATTTCATTCACCTATAATTACCTACTACCTATTATTGTTGGAGAATGAAATACTTTGCTTAAAGGTGTTGATGAATTATTCATCATAGGAAAGGGTAAATCTAGTGATGAATTATTCATCATAGGAAAGGGTAAATCTAGTCTAGAGAATAAATGACTAAACTCTACCTACTACCTGTCCTTTCTATATTATATAAAGGTGTATCTACATTTAAAGAGTTTAGTCTTAAATTTTCTAGACTAGATTTAACCCTTTTCTATGCCTTCATTATCAAGGTCTAGATTTCATAGAATCTCACATAGTTATGGTCTAGTGAAGTTATCTCACATAGTTATGGTCTAGTGAAGTTATCTCACATAGTTATGGTCTAGTGAAGTTATCTCACATAGTTATGGTCTAGTGAAGTTATCTCACATAGTTATGGTCTAGTGAAGTTATCTCACATAGTTATGGTCTAGTGAAGTTATCTCACATAGTGATGGTCTAGTGAAGTTATCTCACATAGTTATGGTCTAGTGAAGTTATCTCACATAGTTATGGTCTAGTGAAGTTATCTCACATAGTTATGGTCTAGTGAAATTATCTCACATAGTTATGGTCTAGTAAAGTTATCTCACATAGTGATGGTCTAGTGAAGTTTGGTTACAGTTTTTTAAAAATATATTTAAGAAAAGCAACTTAAATAAACAATTTGAAAAATGTAAGATCTGCCAAAAACATGAAAAGGCCCATTTTAATTTGAAGATTTAGCTAGTATTTATAGGCCACACCAGGCCACACCCTAGCCAGAGGAGTAAAGAATTAAATTATTTGAGCTTACCAGGAACAAATCATGGGCATGTTCAATCATAAATGCCACAGCTGGTTCAGTGAGAGAAACAATACTGCAGACTTCTGAAGCTTCCACTTTCCTATTCAGAAAGAAGATGGGTGCAAAGATCGTCCCCAAGGTTGTTGGGGTCATCTTGGTCTCTGGACAGTCTGCAACCCTCTGGAGGAGTCTGACCACTTGAAGGGTCATCTTCTGTGCCGGACTCGGCATCAGTAACATAAGAAGCTGCAGAGCGGATAATTTTTTCTTTCTATACCTGGCTATTTCTTCAGGTGTGCTGGCGTGTCTTCCAAGCCCTGAAAAGTAGGCAGAAGGTAATAATCATTTTTTAGTAAAGTAATGATTCAATACTCTGGGTTTGCAAGCTTTGGTGGTAAATAAAGTAGAACTATTCAATGATTTCAAACATATCTTTTGATTCTGTACAATGGTACCAGTTTACATAATGAGGTCATTGTTAACTTATTGGTGCTGCCCTGGTTCACAAACAGTCAATAAGAGAAAGATGATTCAGGCTGTAGTATTTAGTCTAAAATCTCATACCTAGCACCTGGCGATGTGCCTCCATGTGACGTTCTGTTAGTAAAGGTTCTGGTAACTCTCTGAGAAATTCTTTGAGCACACCGGCAACATCATACGGTGTATAGACCTCGGCATCTATCATTAGGGATGGACCATGTTCTATCAGCAGATCTCGCAATGTATTCATTCGCACACAGTTTCCTGGTTTGCGGAAAAGGCCCTCCTTACAAATATCTAGGAGAAATATGGACATGGTCTTTTTATTTTAATATCAAAAGTGAAAAGTGACTCGGAATAAAATAAGGGTTTATTGGTACTATTTGCTATGCTATAGGATTACTTTAATTAGTAGGTAATGAAAAAAATTGCTTTTTTGCCCTTACTCATTTCCATTTTAAGAAACTTGATGAGGGGCATCATCAAACAAACCCCCTTGTCTGTAAGTGGAGCACCAAACAGACCATTGACTGTTTTATCTGCAGAGGAGACCATCATATAATTATAATTTAATAGGCTATTCTATTATCATACGATAGTTGTATGTTAGATGTGTTAGTAATTTATTAATCATTTATGTGCTGTGATTGTATAATAAATACTTGACTTTGACTAGCTAATGGAAATCTTATTCAATGAAAACATTAATAATTAACCATATAGAAGCAACTAAGACCCAAGGCAATGTATAGTATAAGTTCCTTATGTTGCCTAGCAGCATGCAAATAGTTGTTAATCTCGATCATAAATAGTTGTTAATCTCGATAATCCTATGGAACCCCCCCCCCCCCTTTTTTTTTTCCAAATCGGGTGGACGACTGTATAGAACACTTTCCCCGTCCAATGACACGGACCACAAAGAAACTATTGTGTAACCGTGGCCGGCTCCCATCAGTCCAAGACCTCGCCTCACATCAGCGCCACAAAGGTAGGCCGACGAGGGAGGCAACACACGCCATATGTCTCATGTAGATGGCAACCTTTGAGGTCAACCGCTCTGTACACAACATCGGAATCATCCCAGCCTTTCAATCGCAATGGTCTCAGATAAAAAATGCCTCCAGCCAGGTAACTAGAAAAGTGTGTGCGTGTTTGGAACTTTAAGTCTTTCAGTCAGACATTGCAGTCAACCTGAATGTCTTTTCACTTCAGTGTAGGACAACTGATTTAAGAGAGGCCAAAATAACCAAGTCGCAACATAGGTTATGATGATCACGTTTTATAATGTGCTCTAAACAGGAAGTTGTTAAGGGGGTTTGAAAAAATAACAACATAATTTCGAAGAAAATCAAATGACATAACAAAACTGGTTTATATTCTATCATACATTTACTATGAACACTGATCCACACCACTGTTTCATATTATTTAAATATTTCAGTAAGAATATTGAAAATTAAAATGTAAAGGAGTTTTTATTTGCCATCTCATTTTGGTTTTAGACTTGACCAAACAAAAATGTTACAGATTATTTCCGGCCATAGAAAGTAGGTACAATGATAACACAATCACGTTTCAGCACTGGCCTTTAGTGATAACACCCCAAGTTAACACTTTTAAAATGTTTTATGTTAGTGTTGCGTGGGTTCTGGAAACTGTCAAGCGTAGTATTTTGTTAGATAACACTTGAAAAAAGTCATTTTCCATAGTTCTTCTCAACACCGAGTTCGCACCTTACACAGCACAAAAGATGAAAGGCAGGGAGTATAAAGGAAGACGGGTGGACCTTGGATTACTTTCACACGTGACCCATCTGCTGACCACAACCAAGATTAAAATATTGGTACAAGTGACAAACATTCAGCGATCCGATGTGGTCCAACAAAAGCCCCAGGGCATTATTTGACGTGTTACGTCGTGTTCCATCTTTCTGATGTTTGCCCCAGGAACTGTTAACATTCACGGGACGGAACAATGAAAGGTAAACATATGCTTGGTTTATATTTAGATTAGTAAGTCAATATTGAACAACGGGTAGAATGTGAGGCGGTACATCAAAGCATATTTGTTTTTTCTCTCTCCCTGATGAATCAATCATTCCAGCCACTGAAGAGCTTAATAAGTACTCAAAATAAATAAATGAGGATATTGCCCTATATTAGTAGGCGTTGACACAACAAAGCTGGAGTCAACGACTCTCTGTAAACAAAAATATATCAATATTTGTTTCGCTTTGTTAAATTAATTCCTCTTTTTAAAAAAAGTTTCCTTTTATATTTGTGATTAATTTCTATTTAATTCCTAGAGTGAAGTCTGGAACCACAAGAGCTCATTGAATGCCGCGGGCCACAGACTGCCAAACATGGACCGGAACAACCTGATAGAGTTGGAATTTTGGACTCCATCATTTCCACGTTTCCATGTCCCCCGGGAGCAAGAAATGAACGAGTGCTAAAGACATTCTGGTCCAGAAATGATTGAGCTTAAAGGCCCGTAATCGGCGGAGAATGACCAGATGGCGATGGGTTATCAGCGCGACCACGTGACTAGCGCACCTTCCAGCGTGACCAGCGCGCGGAGAACTTTAGATGCTTTATGGTTTTATGACAGCTGAGATGCATCCTCGCAGGTCGGTGTCCTCCCTGCTGGCTGGAGTCAGACGGAATGATGCGCATGAGATAGCATGGCACGACGTGGATGGATGAGCGAGATGTTGCTGATTACGTTTTTAACACCATCCGGCGTCCTCAGCAATAGCCCGTCGACAAGATGTGCAAATCTTATTTCAGTTGGACCGATCAGACTGTAAAAAATGGGCCCCCCCCCCCCCCCAAGAAATGATCACACAATATGAACAATACCTCCTCAACTTCATTTACGCCTAACCCACTCCCCATAAAATATCTCACCATAACATCTACTCCTTAACCATCTCTAGACCGGCATTTAATCAACACCCTTTTTATTTATCTTAGTACACCCTCACCTCTCTCCCTGACTCCTTAAATCCAATAACTCCCTTTCTCATGCTACGTTCTTCACCCTACCTCCCTTCACACCTCCCTTGACTCCAACCCACCCCACTCACCAATGTACATAATTATTACCCCCCTCCCCCGCCCCACTAACTCCCTCCGCTGTCCTCCCCTTGCCATCAATACAAGTAGTAACACAACCAACTGTCTGGAGCAGAGCTTTAAAAAATCCCTTGATCCAAAGAAAATCCAATTTTTAATAATCATACAATGGATACTCTTTATCCCGAGCTTACAAAACACTACACATTAAACAAAAAAAACAAAAGGTCGACATATCCCAATCTTCGTAACAAATACATGTTTAAGTCCAGGTCTATGATAGTTAATGACGCCCCATACCACTTCGTGTCTCTCAGAAACAACCAGACACTGGAGTCCTTTAAAACCGATTTAAAGACACATCTTTTTCGCAAACACCTTCTGGGATGATTGTCTACCATATTTTCCAGTTAATGCATAATGGCTGTGTTGCTTAGGGTTGAAATGGCTAGAAAGACTTTGACATTGTATGCTTGTAATTAGTTTTTGTAGTGTTGCGTTTGTTTTAAATGTGGTAAATTATAGATTTGTTTTTTGTTGACTTNCGTTTTTTTTTTCATGGATAAAATTAGTTTGACTAATGAATGACCCCCGCCTTTTTTTCCAGCTAGAACCCCCCCCCCCCCACCACGAATCTGACCAGTGGATTTCATGAAGCCTGTGACCCCGAAGCCCTTGGGCAGACAGTCGCAAGACTCTCAAAGTCTGCTCTTACAATATTGACATGGTCTGCTAATCCCCCACACAAATACAATACCTCATTGTGGTTTTCCGACCTGTGAGTAGATAAAAAAAACAACTACCAACCGGAGAAGACCATGGCCAGGTGCTTGTAAGTACGAGTTGTGACAAAGCCTTAGGCTTAGCCTTTCAACTCGTCCACGACATCCACCTTTCTTGGTGTGGACCAACACAAGCACCCATACAAAGTCCCCGATAAGACAAGCAGGTTGCCGTAAGGCGATTACAGCGGACAAAAATGTCGCGTGCCGTGAAACAAGTCAAGGACCGTGTAAATGTGTCATCAAGAAGCGTTGGTGTCATGTCCAACAAAAGATTGCTCCTACTTTTCATTCTTACCCCAACTCCCACCAAATGTTCTAATGTCAAACATTTCAAAAGTACTTAATGCAAATCCCGTGACACATTTGGTAGAGTAACTACTCTTGGAATGAGACACTTAGAAATCACGATCATGCATTTTATAGACCCTGCTGTTTTCTCAGATATAATACTTTGCTTGTTGTACAAATATTTCCATCAACAAACAGTAAGCTTCACAAATTGATAGTTTAGAAAAAGAACTCACATTAAAAGATATATACAAGTCAACGTACCTCGTTTCTTAAATACTGCCACGTTACCGAGTCCCGACTTTTTCTTTGTGTCATGCTCTTCCTCTGAGAGTAGCAACTCCAGTTTGTCACCACTGAGGTCAAGGAGAAAAGCTAGATGCATATGGCACATTTCCTGGAACTTGTCTGGGACACACTTCATGGTTCTGGTTACATATTTATCCTCCAGGTACTGCAGTTGTCTGCGGGTTAGACAGTCCATCTTGGACAGCATCAACCGATCTAAATCAAAAACAAGATTCAAATCACAACTCGGACCCTTGTAGCAATTAAACCATTTATACTTAGCTACTGTCTCATATAATTATAAGTGTACATTTGGTGAATTTCAGTGCCCCAAAATGCATACATAATTTTGGATCTATACATTAATTGAGTGAAGAACATTTTTTATAATTTAAAGATAAAAAAATAATGCTAAAGCTAATTCGCTGAACTCAATGTGACAAAATTAATTGTTATTTTGTTCTGACAAGTTAAAAATTTGATTGTTATGTGGAAAAAAAATCCCCCAAGGACTATCAGATTAAGGCAAATACATAACGTAATTAATACATAGCTCTGACTCTGAAAATAATTTCGCGGTTGTGGTTTTAACAAAGCCATGGCATTTTTATTACGTTTTCCTGTGTTGAGAAATCCATTTAAGCTACAGTGATGGCGTATTCACCCCAACAAAAGCTCACAGGGGCTTTTTCTTGCAGAAGGTCGACTTTCTTTACCCCCTCATTTTTTCACTAGTACCTGTAAAGCCATAAAGTCGCAGAAAATGGGTTTCGTGTGGCGCATTGCTTAGCTCCCAATGCAATGGACGGACACGGCAAACACATGTTAGCTTGAATGGGGTTAAATTGTTTCTTCCTCACTACACATGTCCCCCACAG